AAATTTTATTATCTGAGAATTATTTTGTGCATTAAATTGAATGAACATGGTCTGGATAGCCCACAGACATACCATAAACATTTCTAGGACCCACAATTGGTCTAATTTAATAATTTCATTATAAAAACTGTAAAGTTCCTTTAAAAAAATCCTWGAACTTTAAGAACCAGAACCTGTAAAATCTAATCAGAGAAGCTGAAACTCATGGTTTCACTGCAGGAATTTCTTGATTTATTTTGAGCACTTCTCTGCAGAATCTAATCTATCCCCCACAATGCAACAGGGCCTTGTGTTAGTGTGTGTCCGTGTCAGTTTACAGGAAGTCAACAGTTCCCATCTCCTCCTGGATCCACCAGAGACACAGCTGATGCAGAGCAGCTGCCTATAAAATATGACAGAACTCAAAGCCACGCCTCGGAGATCAATATTCAGCRGCCTGCTGAGGCGCCTCTTCCTCTGCTGCCTTATCGAAGCGAGCGCTCCTGTTGGGGCTCCAACCATGGGCAGCTCAGCCTGTTACCATGGAAACGACCTCATTTTCACGCTGCCGTTGATGCGAGATTGAAGAGCTGCACCAAAAACAGAGGAAAAGGAACTAATGAACGATGCCGTTTGGGTCAGAGAGCTGGGTCGGACCCGAGCGGCTCAGGCTCATCCACGAGGACAACAGGAAGCAGGTTAGCAGTGAGACACGAGCAGTCGTCTGCATTAATGATTCATGTGAGACGGTGGAGCAGAGGAGACACCAGCAGGGAACCTGACACCTCATCAAGCCACAGGCCTGAGAACAGACGCTGAGCTGAATCTGACACACACTGACTGAAGTCACCAGGCTGGAGTTGTGCAGAGACAAACAGCGTTCACTTTGTGCTGCTCAACCCTAATTTACACTACATGTGTTCCGGCTCCGCACCGCTCCGACCTCCACAGCAAATACGCACCCATTATAATCAATGAGAGTGTTTACACTGGCTGCGCACGGCGGCGGTGAGCGGACGGCGATCTGGCAAAATTAGATCTGACCCTATTTCTGCCGGACGCCGGAGCTGCGCCGGAGTCAATTTTTAAAAATTATGTCGCGCCAACAGGAAGAGGAACGAGCACAACATCCGTATTTTCAAAATAAGACACCATAATTTTGTCAAAATTGCAGCTATATTAATCAATAAATGGGTATACTTCTACACAAATGCTGTCAGAATGTATCGTTCTGTTTGGAAAGCAGATGGAAACATGTAGCATGAAGCATATGTGTACACACACGATACACATGGATTTTATTTTGAAATCAGAAGTTTTAAAAAGATGACAGTGATACAGTTTCAACCATAGATATCAAAAGCTTTTATATTAAAGWTTTCACCTGTTTAGAATTCATCTTTCACAGAATTAATCATTTTTCGCTCTGACTTCCACATTCATCACTGGATTTATGGCGTTGAAGAAATTTAGAGTTAGTAGAGGTTAGTACTGATGTTAGAAACACAACACTATATAAGTTCTCCTTTGTGTAATGTTGACAGTGTTTAATCTATTATGTTTTGACTGAAACAGGTATAGTTACATGTCCGAAACATCTTTTACAACCCATAATTAAACGTTGGAATAACATTAGCTGAGAATTTTGTCTGAATGCCTGTGACTCAGCTGTAGGCCAGCAGGGGGCGAGCGAAGGCATTGAAGAAACTGTATAAAAAGATGGACTTCCTGTTTTTTCAGGCAGTGTGGGTTTCCTGTCTGCTTCAGCGACAATAAACCTCATTCAGATTCCAGAGTTCTGGTGATGTATGGTTTCATTCCTTCTACAAYTCACTTTATTTAACAATTGTGTTTATAATCTTGACTTCAGTTTATTGAATWCAAATTTTCTTACAGCGTGCTCTCCTTCCTGCCACCCTCCCACCTCTGTCTGTCGGACCACAGCAGAACAGAGCGGAGTCGCATGTAGTGTAAATCCGGGGTCAGCATTCATTTTCCCCCTGAAAACAGGGTCTGTACACACTGCTAACCTTCATTTACAGCTGTGTGTTCATTCAAACACACCCATCCATCCATCCATCCATCCATCCATCCATCCATCCATCCATCCATCCATCGATCCTTTCATCCATCCATCCATCCATCCATCCATCCATCAATCCATCCATCCATCCATCCATCCATCCATCAATCCATCCATCCATCATCCATCCATCCATCCATCCATCAATCCATCCATCCATCCATCCATCCATCCACTAAATGCTCACCACTATAACTGAATATTTTTCATTAGAAATGTAGAAAGTGCCAAAAATCTTTCTGATTCAGTTAGTTACTAAATAGACAACACCAAGTTTTATTTATCCACTTGTTATAAACAATGAACAAAGATTTCTGGTGACTTTGATAAACTCCATCCGTCCATCCACCCATCCATCCATCAATCCTTTCATCCATCCATCCATCCATCCATCAATCCTTTCATCCATCCATCCATCCATCCATCCATCCATCCACCAATCCTTCCATCCATCCATCCATCCATCCATCCATCCATCCATCCATCCACCAATCCTTTCATCCATCCATCCAATCCTTTCATCCATCCATCCATCCATCCATCCAGCCACAAATCCTTTTCATCCATCCATCCATCCATCCATCCTTTCATCCACCAATCCTTTCATCCATCCATCCATCCATCCAATCCTTTCATCCATCCATCCATCCTTTCATCCATCCATCCAATCCTTTCATCCATCCATCCATCCATCCATCCATCCATCCATCCATCCATCCATCCTTTCATCCATCAATCCTTTCATCCATCCATCCATCCATCCATCAATCCTTTCATCCATCCATCCATCCATCCATCCATCCATCCATCCATTCACCAATCCTTTTATTCATCCATCCATCCATCCATCCATCCATCCATCCATCGATTGTCCATCTGTCCATCCATCTGTCCATCCATCCGTCCATCCATCTGTCCATCCATCCATCCGATTTTCCATCCGTCCATCCACCAATCCTTTCATCCATCCAACCATCCATCCATCCAACAATCCTTTCATCCATCCATCCATCCATCCATCCATCCACCAATCCTTCCATCCATCCAACCAGACACTGATCTGTACTTCTCCACATTGTCTCTGACCTGTGTCAAGAGCTCCTTGGTCTTCATGATGCCTCTTGATGATAGTCTTCACTAATTAAAAGTGGTGAACTGCTGGAGTTTTTCAAACCAGGTGTTATTAGAGGGATACATCACCTGATTTATCACAATAGGATATTATATCCATAAGAGTTGTAAGAGTTGGACGTACATCCAATGAACCATGTCTGTAAGGTTCAATAGTTTGACCAGTAATTCAGGACATGTTTTGTTAACAGATAGCCTGGCCCTTGCCTTCCTACACAGCTCCGCTCAATTCTAGTTTCCCTTCACTGCTCCGTCTGGGACTTCTCCCATTGAAATGGATTTCGCTGGCAGATTTTTAGCCAGGCCAATCAGAGAACAGAATGTGAATTTTCTGCACAGTGTCTCTTGTAGTTTATTTTACCTGGGCCAATCAGCAAACAGAAGGCGGAGTTTTGAACGACGTCAACGTTCTGCGCAGTGTCTGCTAGTTATTTTAGCATACGGCAGTGGAGGAAGAGAATGAAGCCAGTCCGTGCTGATAAGGCTTCCAAATTAAATTAAATTTGTCTGACAAAGCAGCGAATCTCATTTACAGCCATCTCGTTCGGCTCGGTATATTTCTCCTCTCAGTAGGGTTGTTTACAGCACACGCGATTTCCGGTTAGCTTATTAGCTTAGCCTCCATCACAGCGACAACACATACATGCTTCAGAAGAGGCCACGCCTCCTGCATGAAATGCTTGTCTATGCATCAAGTCCAGACCCTTGTACGAAGCAAAGTGAAGGACAGGGTCTGGTTTTAACCAAGCTAGTTAACAGACAAAGAGAGACATAAAACATCAAACCCTGCTGTAGTGAAAGTGTTTGTGATGGGTGTCTTCCTACCATGGCGCTGATGGTCTCCTCCCAGTCCGGTCTCTCTCTGGGATGGATTCGAGCCAGTTCAGGCACAATGTCCTCGTCCTCCAGGTGACGTCCTGGTCTTAGGCTTCTGCATGAAAACACACAGGATCACATCATCCATTAAACTGTAAGTATTAAAACATTATGAGCAGCTCCAGCTTGTACTTTTTAACAGCACAACTTCCTTCAACAGGACTTTATCCTGCTTTCTGCCAGCTCTCAACACACCGGGAGGGGGAAAATCCCAGAAGAATCTTTTCAGCTTTCTGTCAGACTAACAAAAAGTATATGATGGAGAGAAAACTTTAGAAATGCTGCTTCTTTCAAATGTTTAGTGGAAAAATAAAAAGGTTAAATCAAATCAGGATTAATTGTCAGTACAGACCTCCACTTGGACACAGAGTTCTTAAACTGGTGACATAATATAAATTCATCTTTGAGGTTGTGTTCTGTATGGGTCAGATCAGCAAAGTAGATTCTTTTAGTCTGATGGATTTTATCAAAGTCAACAGAAATTTTTGTTCATTGTTTATAACAAGTGGATAAATAAAACATGGTGTTGTCTATTTAATAACTTACTGAATCAGAAATATTTTTTGGCACTTTCTACATTTCTAAAGAAAAATATTCAGTTGTAGTGGTGAGCATTTAGTGGATGGATGGATGGATGGATGGATGGATGGATGGATGGATGGATGGATGAATGGATGGATGGATTGGTGGATAGATGGATGGNCATCCATCCATCCATCCATCCATCCTTTCATCCATCCATCCATCCATCCACCAATCCTTTTCATCCATCCATCCATCCATCCTTTCATCCATCAATCCTTCCATCCATCCATCCACCCATCCACCAATCCATCCATCCATCCTTTCATCCATCCATCCATCCGATTGTCTATCTGTCCATCTATCTGTCCATCCATCTGTCCATCCATCCATCCATCCATCCATCCAT